GGGGGGGACGAAGCAACCTGACCAGACGCAGCTACCTGCGGGGGCGGAGTGTGCAGGACGGAGAGACCTGAGTGGGGCTCTCTGGTGAACGTGGCAAGAACTGCCCCGGTGGAAGAGTCCGTACAGATCGCAGTCCTCCCGTGCGCAGGAAAAGTGACTGTGATCCCCCGGTCCTGAAGGTATCCAACAACCACCAAGTTCCGAGAGAACGAGGGGATGTAGAGACCAGTGAGGAAACCAGAGGGGACAGCTGGGCACGGGAGGGTGGTCGAGCTGCGAGCAACTGCTGGTCCTGAAGTAGGATCAGCCAGGGCAACTGGGACTGGAGCCGAAAGAGGTGTGACAGTGGTGTGGTCGCGGAAGAAGCACTGAGACGCGCCGGAGTCCAGCGTGAAGGAGAGCGACGCAACAGCAGTCGTCACGGCCGGGCTAGTGACTACACAAGCACCTACACTAAAAGCACAAGTACCGACACTAGCAACAGGCAAAGGTCCTAAGCTAGGTACACGTAAGCCAAGAGATCCGTACGTGACAGAATAAACAGCATCCATAGACATATCAAACACAGGGTAACCACTACGAAACAGACCGGGCCAGATCGGGGGAGCCGACTCAGGCCCAAAACGCTCACGGTAAAGGTCGTCGAGGCGGCTGTAGCAGCGCTGTGCAGAGTGGTCAGGACGCCAGCAGGTAGTGCCAGCACCAGGGCCGGTCAGGATCCGGTACTGGCAGGGGCCGACGTCGCGGCCACCGCGACGAGCCCCCCAGCTGGCTGGGCCGCTGCTGCAGCCAACGCGACCTGAACCACCAGGCCCCCACGGCTGCTGAGGGCGCCACAGCTGCTGAGGGCGCCCCTGCTGCTGCGGAAGCCACTGCTGAAACGGCCGCTGCTGCTGTCCCTGCTGCTGGAGAACCCTAGTGGACTCCATGATAAAAGCTAGCGGGGTGCAGGAGCGGCAGGCTAGGAGCGACAGGTGAAACTAGGCGAGGAACGGCTGGAGCACGGAGCAAACTGAGCTACGAGCGAGGAGCGAGAACGGCTGGAGCGAGAACGGCTGGAGCACAACTGGCTGGAGCTAGAAACGGCGAGCTAGGGCTGGCTGGAGGTAGGAACGGCCGGAGTTAGAGACCGTAGGTGCGGCTGTCGGCTGCCGCTAGTAGAGCCACTGGCAGTGGAACGTATGTGCGACAGTAGGGGCTGCAGTACTGACGGCTGCGGGATGCAGGCAACTGTGCAGGTCGTCCGGCAAGCAGGAACGCGGCCGACAGTTGCAGGCCCCCACCCGAAACCTTTTTTTTTTTTTTTAGGGTTTAATTTATTTAATTATTTATTTATTTTCTGGCGCTAAAGCGCTCCGGGGCGCGCTGCCTGCAGGGTGTGCTGCCTGCGGGGCGCGCTACCCGCGGGGCGCGCCGCCTACGGGGCGCGCTACCTGCGCGGCGCGCTGCCTGCGGGGCTGGGGCGACGGGCCAGGGCGCGGGCTGGGGCGACGGGCTAAGGCGGGCGCCTGGGCGACGGGCTAGGGCGGGCGCTTGGGCGACGGGCTAGGGCGCGGGCCTGGGCGACGGGCTAGGGCGGGCGCCTGGGCGACGGGCTAGGGCGGGCGCCTGGGCGACGGGCTAGGGCGCGGGCCTGGGCGACGGGCTAGGGCGGGCGCCTGGGCGACGGGCTAGGGCGGGCGACTGGGCGACGGGCTGGGGCGGGCGCCTGGGCGACGGGCTGGGGCGGGCGCCAGGGCGACGGGCTGGTGCGGGCGCCTGGGCGACGGGTTAGGGCGGGCGCCTGGGCGACGGGCTAGGGCGGGCGCCTGGGCGACGGGCTAGGGCGGGCGCCTGGGCGACGGGCTAGGGCGGGCGCCTGGGCGTCGGGCTAGGGCGGGCGCCTGGGCGTCGGGCTAGGGCGGGCGCCTGGGCGACGGGCTAGGGGCGCAGGCTAGGGGCGCTGAGGGCTCTAACGCGCGGAGGAGGAGGGCGCTAAGGCGCGGAGATGGCGCGGAGGGCGCGGAGGGCGCAAGGGTGCGGAGTGCGCTAGGGCGCGAGCTAGGCTAGGCTAGGCGAGAGGATCGACACCTACTCATGATACCATCTCAAAGTTAGCGAACAACGGAATGTGTGAACTAGGGAAACAAGGGATACAAATAGCAACCCTAAAAGTGTTGTACTCCCTATAGTGCTACTCACTGTAGCCTAAGAACCTATAATAACATTTGACAGCTACGTCATTCTGAATCGTTGCAGCCTGATTCAAAATTAATTGCTGCAACCATTTCTCTCGTCTATATGTAGTTGACTTTTATTCGCCGTTCCTTCTGTTTGTAGCTGCATCGTTTCTTCTTCATTTCATAGGTTTCTTACACCGTTGAAAGGCTCAGTTGATTCGAAGTATATTGGGCTCGTTTCAAACTTCATGCAAAATCGTATGTGGTGGTGTACATTTGTTCGTCCTCTTTTCTTTCTACCCCTTGATTTTCTCGTATTGTTCTGCTTGCTTGCTTTTTTTCAGCAGGCCGCACTTACACCACTTCACAATACCTTGCTAGTATTTCGAGGAGTCAGATTGAGATACCGTATAAGGGAATAGGGAAATATAGATCATGGGATTTGATTTAGACTGCTGATTGTAGTTTCTTTTTTTGCATCTTCTCTTTTTGTTTCTTCTTTATTGCCCCTTTTGTTTATGCATTTGCATGTGCATGCATCTGCTTGAATATGCATACATTAACAATGCATGTCTGTAAGCTTTAGAAAGAGTAGTCAGTTCTATCATTTCCCCAAGGTTCATTGAGTACGCTCAAAAGGGTACGCTCACTTGAACTGGATTTGATAGGGTTGATCTTTTTTTTAGGGCTCACAGATTGTGTTGTTTCATATGATAGTTGTAATGATTCAATGGTTATGTTATTGACTTCCCCCCCATGCTAGGCAGGGGATGCGATAGCATAGTTATTGGGTCATTCGCTATCACATATCATAATTACCATAAAAGCATGCATATCATACTGCATTCTCAATCATCTACCATTTTAAGGTAATTCCATGCAAGACATTATTCATATATACGCATGCATACGCATATCAACATTCACAGCGTACATTCCAAAAAGTCCAGTCCAGCCTTCCGAAAATAAGGGTGCATTGAACATGCTGAAATTACATCCACATTACACACAAATGGAAGCATTGCAAGTCATGTACGTCGCCAGTTTTTTTATTTTATCTTTTTTTAATAAAATAAACAGATGAAAAAAAAATCTCGTCAAATCGATTGTAATAGGTTGCTTCGCAACCCAAAAAAAATGTTAGGATAATTATGCTGGTACTGTAACAACAAGTCTCGCACTGTAACGGAGCCTTTGCCATCAAATATTTTCTCGAAAATATGAGAGTTCAGAAAAGCGAGCTGTTGACCTCGGAGTTATGTGTGTGAGTCATACTCATTGTTTCGGGTTTGTTTGACGCGGTTCAAATCGGTCCGCGGTTTTCACCGATTCAGACCATTGCGTACCGGAATGACCCTTGCGAAGTCAATTGTGAACGAACGCACATCACCCTCTGCGCATTTTCAAAGTTGGACAATGATGGGTCAGAGCCACATGAATAGCTAGAGGAGACTGAATACTAGGTACCAACAGTCGCGACAAGTGCGCTCGAGTCCATGGCGAGCGCAAATGCATGATTCTTGTGTTGACTACATAGCATCTATCTACCATTGCCGGAGTGTGAGCTTGAGAAATCTTAATCTCCATGGCAGCGCTGCAGCCTACTGGCGAACTGACAGAGCGCGCCGAGCGACGGGAGGAGAAGCGATAGAAGAACAATGCTGACCAAAAAGGCAAGGACTGCTATTGTGTCGCGACGCAGCGTCCGTCTTTTCACCTCATATTCACACTCCGAGCGAGAAGCACCTAAACTTCACCTTCCTGCCTGGATAATAACTTATTTAAACTTAGTGAACTCTTCCATGCATTCCTTGTCCCCTTCACCTCCTTCTATTCTGTCCGTCCTCCCCCCTGATTTTGCTTCCTCGCGAGCTATGCGCGCACTGCGAAACATGTAGCTAGCACCTCATTAAGTGATTTCCCTCATGTGGTTCCTGTCCCTGCTGCAAATCCCCGTGTAACTCCTATCCGTTTCACCCTTACGCTGTTTCCTCTCTCTCCTCCTCTTACTCATACTGGAAAGAGTTTTAGAAATATAAGATCGTGAGGTAGATGAACTCGCACCTCCACTACGTTATTCTCATTCTCTGCACCATGAAGTCCTTTTAGTGTTGGCGAGGTGGGCGTTTCGAGAAGTGTTCGAACGGATCACGTTTACGTGCTTGAAAGGAGATGCTGAAACGGAGAACTCAGGAGAAAATATTCATATTTGAGGAGCCAAAAACAAAACTCAGAGAAAATGCTCAAAACAACCCCATTCCAAAGCCCTTCGCGAGTGCTCTCGCCGTCCAGACCCATTTCCAAGGCTTGAAATCACAGCCGCAAAGAAAAGCAACGACGAAGAAACTCAAATATTGTCATTCCCCTCTCTCTCCCCCCAAGAAATCCCCTTCCCACCCATCTCGTCCCTATCACCCCCCAGCCGCCACCCCCAGTGATCCCATAGACTTGCTGCCGGCGTACCTCTGGCACAAAGTCTTCCTCTACCTGCTGCTTCTGGCGTCTCACGTTCCCCCTTCACTTCCCCACTGATCCTCTTCCCACCCATCTCACCCATCCCTCCTTCCAGCCGCCCACCCCAGTGATCCCATAGACAGGCTGCCGGCGTACCTCTGGCACAAAGCCTTCCTCTACCTGCTGCTTCCACCAGGCTCCTCCCACCCTGAGAGTCCCCTCATCCGGGGGAGACGCAAGACGCCCTGATATCTCACCGCCACAACTCAGCCCACAGTGGGCAGAAACCTGCCCGTGAAATTTGCGGACCCTTATTTCACAGCAGTCGGGCAGCACTGGAAGAATGCGTGGAGCTATGGCAGTGGGTGGGCGCTGCTGTGCTGCGCCATGGCCAGCAAGAGGCTCCTTTCGCTCGTCCTCTCCTTCTCCGTGAGTCTGCTCTGCTCTGCCCTGCTTGGCGCTTGCCTTCGTTTTTTAGGCACCTCAAAAACAGACCCCTAGTTCTCTCCTTCTCTGTGGGTACTGGGCTGCTTTGCGCTAATGCTTCACTTTTAGTGTGTGTTTAAACGCCTTGTTGCGAGTTCTCTGCTTGAAGCCTAGATAGACGTATGGCACTGCACTGGGGCATTACATTGCAACAATGGCACTGCACTGGGGCATTACATTGCATCAACCACCACATGTCCTGCCTGCTAGTAAGCTACTACTACCAGCAAGCACAGTACCCCTTCATTTGAGTATGCTCAATGTGCAACATCAGTCCTTGGTTTTGAAACGCATGCTCCCTGAATGTTACCATGCGTGGGGATATGAGATTCCTAAAACATGCCCTGATTGGTCAAACGAGCAGCCTATCCGACAACTTTATTCCCTTCACATTCCTTCCATCCAGCCAACCAGCCTTCACGTTCTCTTCTCCTATCTCGTCCCTCCCTCTCTGCAGGCCCACCACCCCATCGCGCTGGTATACAACGAACTACACCCCGAGTGGATCAAGAGCGTCGAATACTTCCTGCGCTGGCGCGGCCGCCTCAAGTCCCTCACCCTCACCTACACAAACTTCAAGCAGCTCGACTACCTTTGCTCGCCGCTCAACCGCTCCTTCGCCTCCCTCACCTCCCTCACTCTCAAACTCCGCGGCTGTGTCGACAAATCCTACCTGTATGACGACCTGCCGGAGGACTGTGAGGACGGAGCTGATGAGATGTTCTGGGTGCATGCATTTGACTGCCCGGCGCTGCAGCGGCTGAAGCTCGGGCGGGGCAAGTGGAATCTCCAGGAGGAAGGCTGGGCTGAGGAGTACCAGTCGCTGCGCAGCTTGACTCTCAAACACGTGGACTGGAGCTACGTGGATGTTGAATATCTCGGCACGGTCACGCCGCGGTTGACAGAATCCACGCTCTATCACAGCTGGAGTTTGGACCGCCCATCGTCCGGACCTGGTGGTGGGGGCGAGTTCCGTTTCGACTTGTCGAAGGCTCAAACCGTCCGGTTTTACTTCCCACAGAGAACCCTCACGCTCGTCCTCACCCTCTCTCGCTCGCTCAAAACCTTCACTGCGATGGCAAAACAGCTTGTGCTCTCCTGCAAGAGCAGCACCCCTCTTGCCCTCCACCACCTCTCGCTATACGGCCAGCAGCGGCTTGTCATCTCCTCCCTCCGCCTCGCTTCCGCACGAGTTGCCTACCTCAACGGCCCTCCCAAAGACCGGCACTCACGCAATGACCACCATTCATCCTACCTGGACTCTCCTGAATTGTCCCCTGAATCTTCTCCGGATTTCTCTTGGGCCGAATGGCTGGGCACTATAGCGCCAACAGTGGAGGTGCTTATAGTGAGGCATGGGGTGCCTGTAGAGGGGGTTGATGCGGAGTGGCCCTGCCTGCGCAGCCTTGGGATTGTCGTGGAGAGTGAGGAGCGGTCTGAGGTGGATTTGAAGGTTGAGAAGCGCCGGGATGATGGTGAGAGGGAGGTTACTGTGAAGGAATATCAGGAGCGCAACCAGAGGCTTCTGCAGCAGCAGTGGCAGCAGGAGCGGCAGCGGCAGCAGCAGTGGCAGCAGCGGCAGCAGCAATGGCAGCAGCAGCAGCAGGGGCAGCAGCAGCAGATTTTGCAGCAGCAGCAACAGCAGCAGCAGCAGGAGGAGGAGGAGGAGGAGGAGGAGCAGGAGGAGCAACAGCAAGAAGGCAGACCTCCGTTTATCTTGGCTCCAAACTTGCGAGCAATCTTCTTCCCCACCCACACATGCGAGCAGCAGACCCTTGCTTCCCTCCGCGAATTCTGTCCCTCTCTCGCCCTGTACTGCATCTCACGCCGCTCGTTCTACTGGGACAAGCAGAGGAGGCAGTTGCCAGATACTCCTATGATTCATGTGAGGAAGGCGAGAAGCTGGGTGCCACGCGCTTGCTTTGCAGAGAAGCGACCGAAGAACGTGAGGGAGAAGATGCACAGTGTGAATAGGGAGCTGGTTGATGGGTACAGTGTTGATAAAGATGAGGCTTATATGTTGAAGTACAAAGGGAGCCTGTGGAGCAGAAATCATTGAGGGGACCTTTGAGTCGGCTAAAACATCACCCGAGCAGGGCTAATTTTTGGTTTTTGCCAACCCTTACGATCAGTGTTGCACATGTTCAAAACCCTGATTATCAGTGTGACCCCTTGTGGGAAAACTGATTCATCAGGGTTTCTGCTTAGTTTGAATATTCAACCCTGAGGCATCAGTGTGCAATGTTCTCGAACCCTGCTGAAATTGTCATTAACAGAGCACACAATAACAAATTTACAGTTTCGACAGTTGGCAATAGGGAATCCCGGGTTACGGGGTAGGGGGGTTAGGGGAAGGGGGGGGGGGGGGGGGGGGGGGGAGGGGGGGAAGGGGGGTGGCGGGGGGTGGCTGGTACTCGCTTCAGGGTAAAACTCGCTAAGAGGATCGGCAACACTGAGGCGACAGTGTGCCTTATTCGTAAACCCTGGCACATCAGGGAAAATCAAGGTCCCAAAAAAAATACCCTACGGCATCAGTGTTACACCCAAAAACCACCCTGATAATCAGGGTATCAGGGTGATTTACCCTGATAAAATAGGGCCTGCACCCGAGTACAGTGTTCATGGAAAATGAGGCTATTATATGTAAAAGTACAAATGGAGCCTCTGGAAGACTGAATACTGCAATTTCAATTTTAATGGAAGGGGCTGGGGTTCAATAATAATGCATGATAACCATGCAATGCAAGGCTTTGCTTAACTAGAATCAGTAACCATAGCAGTACAGTACTATGTCTGACCAAGTAACGCACGGTAGGCCATATTTACCAGTAGGGGTGACACTAAATTGCATGTCTGTCAAGAGTAAACTGAATTCACATGTTGTAATATACAGCTGTACAGTAAATCCACAATGGAGACAACTGCACTGATACAGTACCACTCATACAGATGAAAGCTGAAACATTGTTCATTGCACAAAAGAGAGCCGTTGGTTCTGAAATTCTGAATGCCCATACAGCCAATCTGCCGAAACAATTTCTCTTCGTGTATGAGAAATCAAGGTTATATGGAACAATAATCACTATGTATGAACATTATGAGGCGCCTGTGGTTGGTGGCTTCTTGAAAGGGTTTGCCTCTTGGTCCATAACTGAAAGGGCGTATTGCACCTGCCACAGGGGATTGGGTTGATTTGGTGGGATGGACGTTGTAAGAGCTGAACCTCCTACAAATATGAACAGCAAAGGCAATGAATGGCCTAGGGGATGAATGGGAGTGGCAATGGGAGTGGCAATGGGAGTGGCAATGGTCCATAGGTTGAACGTGACCAAGACGTTTGAACCGTAGGACCCCAGTTAAAGCCCCGCAATAGATGAGCGTAAGGTCGCCTTGGGGATGTGGTGAGTGCTGTAGGTGGCAGTGAGGTTGGGCACTCCACTCCCTTGCTTGCATTGGCGTTTCTTCTAACAAAGTATCACAAGAATATTATGTTCACCGCTACAGTCTCGCCTTCGAGGAACCCAGCGATGGCGGATCCGAATGCCGGGTCAGGGATGTGGTGAGTGCTGTAGGTGGCAGTGAGGTAGGGCACTCCACTCCACTCCCTTGCTTGCTTGCATTGGCGTTTCTTCTAACAAAGTCTCACAAGAAAACTATGTTTTGAGACGTCTCAAAAGTAGGTGGCAGTGAGGTAGGGCACTCCACTCCCTTGCTTGCTTGCATTGGCGTTTCTTCTAACAAAGTCTTAGCGATGGCAAGCTGTTAAAAAAATAAAAGTAAAAATAAAAATCACACAGGCAATCCAAGCCCACCTGTACAGTCTCCCATTCGAGAAACCCAGCGATGGCTGAGCGGAATGGGGGAATGTGGTGGGCGCTGTAGGTGGCGGTGGGGAGATAGCCCACATTGGCAGCATAGAAGCTGCTTCATAAGATTGTGACACAAGCAACTCAAGCGAACCCACCTGTACAGTCTCCCGTTCGAGGAACCCGGCAATTGCTGAGCGAAAGGCAGGGTCAGGGATGTGGTGGGCGCTGTAGGTGGCGGTGGGGAGATAGCCCCGCGGCAGCTTGTGCTCGCCCTGTGCCCCCGCCTCCACTCGTGCTAACCCTGCTTCTATTGCGGCCTCTATTGCCTGAAGCGCAGGGGAGAAGTGCGGAAGGGGGAAATGGAAACAAGGGGGAAATGGAAACAAGGGGGAAAGTGGGAAGGGGGAGAGGATGAAGAGGCAACGGGAGCGCATGGTGCTGTAGGTGGCGGTGGGCAGATAGCCCTGCGGCAGTTTGTGCTCTCCCTGCGCTCCCGCCTCCACCCGTGCTAACCCTGCTTCTATGGCCGCCTCTATTGCCTGAAGGGGAGATAATGGGTTGGGAAGGTGAGACGGGGGAAAACGATGGACGGGGGGAACGCAGGGATGGGGGGACGGATTGAAAGGGGGACAAGTCCGGAAGGTGTGGTGAGAGCACTGTAGGTGGCGGTGGGCAGATAGCCCCGCAGCAGCTTGTGCTCTCCCTGCGCTCCCGCGTCCACCCGTGCTAACCCTGCTTCTATTGCCGCCTCTATTGCCTGAGGAGGGAGAGGGGCAGCGGAAGAGGAGAACAGGGAAGGGGGACCCACGAAAGGGGGAAACGGGGAACGGGCAAGGGGGAAGGCATAATGGGCAGATAGCTTCGTGGTAGCTTGTGCTCGCCCTGTGCTCCCGCCTCCACCCATGCTAACCCTGCTTCTATTGCCGCCTCTATTGTCTGCAGGGGGAGAGGGAAGGGGAGGTGGAGTGGGGGAACGGGAGTGGGTAAGGGGAGAGCATCTTGTGCTCGTCCTGTGCCCCTGCCTCCACCCGTGCCAACCCTGCTTCTATTGCCGCCTCTATTGCCTGATGGAGGGGGGGCAGGGGAGGTGGAATGGGGGAATGGGAGTGGGGGGAGAGTGGGTAAGGGGGAAGCAGCTTGTGCGTCCCCTGCGCCCCGGCCTCGCCCCTCCCCCCCCCCAGGTTCAGCGCACCCCCACCATGCGCATTCTACTCCAGTTTCTATTCACGCACCTGGTAGTAGCACGCTTCAAAGCAAGGATAAAAAATACGGCTATTGTATTATACGGGCCGTTTTTTTCGATGGTATAATACGGTGTGTTTGGCAAACATTCGGCCGTTTTTTTGTTGGCCATTTTTTGTCACTGGATTTTTTTCCAGAATCTACTGAAATTGCTACAACAATGACTAGGAAGGCAATAACAACCTACTCTAAGGAGAAACAGGCCTGCAAAGGTCTACTGCTAATGACGCTACTCTTACTATGCATGCATGCATGCCTACCTAGGCAAGTCCCTGCCTAAGGCCTCTCCATTCCTCCTAAATCCGTCCCCACTATACTCAACCTCCCTTCTATTCTTCCTACTCCAGCACCTGGTCCTCCTCTTCCTCCTCCCCACTCAAACCGTCGCTGCAACCCTGGCATGTGGAGGTCCCTTCACTACTCTACTCATACTCTTCTTCGTCCTCGTCCTCCTCTTCATCCTCCCCACTTGAACCGTCGCTGCAATCCCAGGCATATCGTCCCTTGGGATTCTGGGCAGGCGCTTCCTCCTCCCCACCGCTGTCTTCCGCCTCCTCTTCCTCTTCCGCATCCCGTGCTTTTCCTTTCCCCTTTCCACTGCATGCACCGTTGCCCTTCCCCTTTTTCTTCCCTTTAGATGACTCACCCGCCTTCCCTTTCCTCTTCTTGCCGATGCTTCCAAATTCCGACCAATCAATGGTGCATTCCTCCACCTCCACTTGTCCCTCTTCTTCAGCATCCCCTTCCTCCTCCTCCACTTCGGCCGGGATGATGGCAGCCCCTTCCCTGAGGGTGCCGTTGCCCAGGTCCGAATAGAGCTTGGAACGCAGGGCTGCCTTTCGATCAAAGGCATCACGGGCCCGCCGGGTGAAGGCGACGAAGGTGACGTCAGTCATCTTCTGCGCCGTGAGGCGGTTCCGGTCGCGCCTCTGCACACGTGCCAGCGCCGACCAATAGCGCTCCACCTCGGAGGAGGTGACTGGCTGTGAGAGTGACGTCACAGCCAGGTCTTGGAGCGCCTGCACATCCCCACCAAACAGGAACCACCATTCCGCATCCGTCATGCGCCCCGCCGCCACCAAGGTCGTTGCTGCCCAACGGGCATCGTGAGAGCCCAGCCTGCCCTCCCCTCGGTGAAACTGAGCCACCTGTGCAGCTAGGGTTACGCGCTGCTGCACATCCCCCCCACGGGCTTGGATTACCTCATCCGTCCCCTTCCTAATCTCGGGATCGTTCCTTACCTCCGCGATGTACTGGTTACGGGGGTTGAGAAGCCAACCGAGGGCGTGCAGTGGGTTGTGCAGTTGAGCGTCCCACCTCCTGGCTATGATCGACTTGATGGCGGTGAGAAAGGTGCTCTTGTCCTTGTGCAGTAGCAGACCCGTCCGCTTGATGAAGTGTGCTGCTGCGCACAGTGTATAACGAGAACTAGTTAGTAACAAAGAACGAGCGGACGTATGGGGAGAACGAATGTTTATACCACATCATTATGCTTTCCGCCGGCCCACTTACCAGCCTCCTCGGCCGCCTTAGTCGTCTTCACCGTGGCCTCAAGCATGAGGCCGTACAGCTGCCCCATGAGTTGAGCCCGTGTGTCAACGGCGCGAAGAACCTCGTAGACCGGAGTCATGAGGCGCAACACGGCCGTCCCACAGTCCCAAAAAACATCATCCAAAAGCAGCTTCCTAACCTCCATCCCCTCCTCCGTCCGTGCCACCGCCACATCATCCCACTCCTCGCTGACAACCATCGCCCTCAACGCGCGCTTCACCTCCAGGAACCTGCCGAGCATGATGACCTGGGTGCCGAATCTCGTTGCACCCGGCCGCACCAACGAGAGCTTGGTAAAAAGCTCACGGAACAAAACGACGGCCGAAGCGGAGCCTTTGATCATCATCACCACGCTGTGCACCTGAGCAAGGACGCGCTTAACAGCCGGGATGTTGCCGATGTCGTGCAACATGAGATCTAGGCAGTGGGCGGCACAGTTGGTGAAGAAGATATGCGGATACTCCACGCGTAGCTTGTTGGCGGCGTTCTTGTTGTTCGAGGCGTTGTCCATCACGACTTGGACGACATGCTTCGGCCCCACCGTCTTGATCGCTCCATCAATTAGACCCGCCAAGTAGTCCCGGGTTTTCCTTGCGGTCTTCGAATCGACGATGTCGACGATGACGGGTGCAGTGTCATTCAGCGCGATCACACACACCAAACCGCGGGATTTGATGCACGTCCACCCATTGATTGAGAGCGTGCACCCGCTTGTCTTCCAACTGTCCTTCAACGGCCGCACAAGGTCCTCCGAGTCCGCCTTCAGCTTGTCGAGCAGCGGGCCGGATACCTTGTACGGGGTGGGGAGGGTGTACGGTTTCGCGTACACGATCACCGCGTCAACGAACGCCTGGATCGACTTCGACTTGCTGACGTTGAAGGCGAGGTCGTTCTCGGCAACTGCAGCAGCCCACAGGTAATCCAGCCGAGTCTGCGCAACTTCATCCGTCATTTCGCGGATATCTCGCTGCCGAGAGCGACGCGCGGGCGTCGTTTCCACCGTGGACGTGGAGGCACGGTTTGATCCTCCCGTACCACCCGAACCATTTCCCGTGGATGAGCGCTCCTGATCGGCTGTCGCCCGCCGCTGCTTAGCGTAGTCCGACTTGCACATCGCGACGTTTTTATCCTTCTTGTTAGTGCCGAATATGTGCTCGCGGATCCTAGTCGCATTAGCCGTCACAGGAAGTGTGCAATGGATGCAGGTTGCACCGACTACCCGCTCGTCTGCATCCTTAATCTTCTTGACATGCTCCCAATACTCCGAAGCGGGACGCACCATGGCGTCGTATAACACTATGCTAAGAACGAGTGGGTCAGAGATCAGTGATATGAAGACTTGAGGCAGCGAGAGTGAGGTTGAATGTGTCGAGTGGGTTTTTCCAGCAGCAATATGTACCTCTTACTGCTTGATGGTGCTGTATTGACGACGGGAGGTTTGAAGAATGGATGAGATGAGCTGGAAGTTGAATGTGCGATTGCTATTGGCTGGAAACGTGTCGCACTCAAATGTGTGGAGCGCCACGATTGCATGCGATACTGAAGATCAAGGCGCGAGTTCGATTGACGACTCAGCGAAACGGGTAAAAAATTATGGTGGGTTCGCCAATTTTGTAAAATGTCGCGCCTCGACAAATTGGTGTTGGCGCGATGCGGCGAACGACCCTAACGACTCTGCGAAACGGGTTTGCATTTCCCCCCTTTCGTCAAATGTCAGACATGTCGCGCCTCGGCATGTTGCTGACTTGCGCGACTCGTCCCAAACATTGGCGGGACTGACAAGACTTTGCAAGACATCCCCCATATAACCCTCGAAATTGTTCTAATGTTGAAATTTATTGTACATTGTTCGGTTCTAAAATTTCGACCGAAAAAAACGACCGTATTTTTAATCGAAACATAAATGTAACAGATGACCGTACTAAACCGTTTTAAACCACCGTATAATACAAAACCGTATAATACGGTGAAATTTCAAAATTTCGGTCGTATTTTTGAACCTTGCTTCAAAGTGCAGGAAAGGGTAGTGCGTGCCAGGCAGCGCCCCCCAGTTGCGCCCAAACACCGCCTCCCCTCCCACCAGGTTCAGCGCACCCCCCACCATGCGCCCTGTCTCATCCCCACTCCAACTCATGTTCTGAGTCACACACACCATACACCACCACACACGTAGCACAGGCACGCACCTGGTAGTAGCATGCTTCAAAGTGCAGGAAAGGGTAGTGCGTCCCAGGCAGCGCCCCCCAGTTGCGCCCAAACACCGCCTCCCCCCCCACCAGGTTCAGTGCACCCCCCACCATGCGCCCTGTGCCATCCTCCGCCACCACCAGCAGCACCTTCTCTCCAAGTCTCTCGCCTAGAAGGTGGAAGAACTCGCGAGTGAGGTAGGTCTTCCCCCACCTGGTGTTGGGGTAGGGGGGACAATGGGAAGGGAAAGGAATTAACCCCCACCATGCGCCCTGCCTCATCCTCCGCCACCACCACCAGCACCTTCTCTCCTAGTCGCTCGACCAGCAGATGAAAGAACTCGCGAGTGAGGTAGGTCTGCCCCCACCTGGTGCAGAGGGGTGTAGAGTGGTGGGTGGGAGAGACAGGTGGATGGGGAGAGGGATGCATGGGGGAATGGAGGGAGGTAGGTCTGATCCCACCTGGTAATGTGCAGTGTGGAGCGGTGGGAAGAGAACGGATGGGGAAAGGGAGGCGATGGGAATGAGAAGAGCTCCCGCAGGTGGAAGAACGCACCTGTTGAGAACAGAAGGGAAAGGCGGATGGGGAATGGAGAGAAGAGACAACGATGATGAGGGGATGCAAACAAGTGACGGAGGCAGGTGTAAGTGAGACGTTTACAGAACAGAAACACCCAAGGCCTGTCCGTCTGCCCATCCATTCAGTTCCTCTTTCCACTCCTTGTCTATGAGTGAGGTGCCTCAAAAGCCTTGGCTAACCCGGCCTTCAGGCAGCCATGAGCTGCCTGCCTGCCTACACGATTTCCTCTTCCTGGTTCGAGTCGAGCGAGTGAGCTGGCTAACCTGGTCTAGGTTTATCAGCTCACTCACTCGCTCGACTCGACCTGCCTGAGAACTCACTTTCGGTTGGTGGTGTTGCAGTAGAACTGGAAGAAGCTGTTCCAGTGGTGTGCCTGGCTACCTCCTTGGCTACCTCCTTGAGTTGGCTAACCCGGTCTAGGTTTATCAGCTCACCCGCTCAACTCGACTCGAACTGCCTGAGAACTCACTTTCGGTTGGTGGTGTTGCAGTAGAACTGGAAGAAGCTGTTCTGTTAGAATTATATATTGTGTAGCATGCCAACACATGTGACTGTACACCAATTGTGGTGTACAGTTGGGTTGGGACTACACCCAACTTTGGGTGTAGTCTTGCACTTTGGGGTGCCAATCCACCCAATTGTGGTGGAGCCCCCAAATGCAACCCACTTGGCTAATGGGTGCCTCACTTTCCACAAATGAGGTCACCTCAAGCCAAGTGGGCCTAGGGTTGCCTCACTTCTACAAAGTGTGGGCAACCCAACCCACTTGACCCATGGTTGCCTCACTCCCCCAAGTGAGGTCAACCCAACCTATGGTCACTTCACCCTTCTCTTCCAAGCCTCTCTTCAAAACTATGTATGCTAGGTTTCTCCTCTAATGAAGTCACTTGTTCAATTTACAACTTTCACATGGTATAGAGCTACTTGTTCCTAGGCCTTACCTCTCCCTCCCTTCAGTTTTTTTTTTTCCCATGGGCCCACCCCACAGCTACAAACCCTTTCCTACGCGTGGCTCAACTAGCCATCACTAGCATACTCTCGCCGCGACCTTCGCCGTCGCCGCCGTTCCCCCCCCTCCCGCCGCGATTACGCCTTCCTCGCCTGCGGATTCCACCGCCGCGAGCGCAACGCCGCTGTCCCCTCCTCCCCCCCGCCGCGACCCCCTGTCGCCGCCTCCCCTTCTCGCCGCCGCGCCTGCCTCGGCGCCGCCTGCGCATCCCGCCGCCGCGACGTCCCGTCGCCGCCTGCCCGTCCCGCCGCCGCGACGTCACGTCGCCGCGCTCCCGCCGCCGCGCCTGCTTCGGCGCCGCCTGCGCATCCTGCCGCCGCGACGCCTCGTCGCCGCCTGCCCGTCCCTCCGCCGCGACGTCACGTCGCCGCGTTCCCGCCGCCGCGCCTGCTTCGGCGCCGCCTGCGCATCCTGCCGCCGCTACGCCTCGTCGCCGCCTGCCCGTCCCTCCGCCGCGACGTCACGTCGCCGCCTCCCCTTCCCTCCGCCGCGCCTGCTTCGACGCCGCCTGGCCGTCCCGCCGCCGCGACCTAACGTCGCCGCCTGCGCATTCCGCCGCTGCGACGCCTCGTCGCCGCCTGCCCGTCCCTCCGCCGTGACGTCACGTTGTCGCCTCCCCTTCCCGCCGCCGCGCCTGCTTCGGCGCCGCCTGCCCGTCCCGCCGCCGCGACCTAACGTCGCCGCCTGCGAATTCCGCCGCCGCGACTGCTCGTCGTCACCTGCCCCCCGCCGCGATTTCGCGTTGCCGCCTCCCCTCCTGCCGCCGCACCTGCTTCCGCGTCACCCACGCATCTCGCTGCCCCTTCTGCACCGCCACCCGCCCGCAATTTCCCCCGCCGCAACTGCACCATCGTCGCCCCGCGGTTCCCGTTAACGCGACTGCTGCCGCCGCCGTCCCTCGTTTCGCCGCCGCAGCCATTTCCCCGCCGCCTTCACCTTTCCGCCGCCGCAACCTGCTTGCAGCCGCCGCTCTCAAAATCGCCGCCGCGGCCCTTCCGCCTTCACTTGCGCCCTTCGTCGTCGCGGCCTGCTCGCCGCCGCCGCCCCCGACTTTGCCACCGCCTCCCCTTCCCGCCGCCGCACGTTCGCACAGCCGCCTGCGCCCTTGTCACCGCCGCTCCCTGCACCCTGAACGCCTCTGCCCTCCACCGCTGTCTCCCTCCTTTACCCCCCCCCCCCCCCCCCCTCCCCCCTCCCTCCTCCTGCCAGCGGCAGCAGCAGCGGCAGCAGGGGAAGTGCAGCAGCCTCAGCAGCAGCAACTTCACCCTTGGCCGCCGCGGGTCCACCCGCCGTCGCCCATCATGACTCCTACCCCCCCTGCCCCTCTCCCCCCTCCTCCCTGGAGCAGTATTACTCCTCGCCCCTCCCTTCTCAACACTCCGACCCTCCACTCCTCCCCCCCCCCTTATCTCCGCCTGCTCACCCCCTCCCCCCCTCCCCATCTGCGGCGTTTCCAGCAGCTCCAGCATCAGCAGCAGCAGCACTTCCAGCAGCGGCAGCAACCACAATATCTCCAGCCGCACCCCCCACAGCTCCTCCAGCCGTGGCAATCGCAGCAGCGGCAGTTCTTCCAACACCTACAGCAGCCCCTCCCCCCTCTCCCTCCTCCTCTCCAGCACCCGGATCAGCAACAGCAGGGGCAGCAGCAGCACCAGCAGCAGCAGCCGGCGCAACACCAGCAGCGGCAGCAGGGGCAGCAGCAGCAGCAGCAGCAGCAGCCGGGGCAGCAGCAGCAGCAGCAGCAGCAGCAGCAGCAGCAGCAGCTGGAGCAGCAGCAGCAGTCCCTCCAGCAGCAGCAGCAGCCACAGTTTCTCCAGTCGCAGCAGCAGCAGTGCTTCCAGCAGCAGCAGCTGCCACAGTTCCTTCCGCCGCAGCAGCAGCAGTCCTTCCTGCAGCAGCGGCAGCCACACTTTCTTCAGCCGCAGCAGCAGCAGTGCTTCCAGCAGCAGCAGCTGCCACAGTTCCTTCCGGCGCAGCAGCAGCAGTCCTTCCAGCAGCAGCGGCAGCCACAGATTCTTCAGCCGCAGCAGCAGCGGTGCTTCCAGCAGCAGCACCAGCCACAGTTCTCTCCATCCGCAGCAGCATCAGCGGTGCTTCCAGCAGCAGCAGCAGCCCAATTTCTCCAGCCGCAACCGCCACAGTCTCTCCCACCGCAGCAGCCGCCGCAGCAACATTACTTACAGCAGCAGCACCCGCCGCTCTCTCCCTCTTCTATCCATGAAACAACTCTCCAGTACTCTGTGTTCACTCCCTCTCCTTCCCCCCCCACCCTGGACTTTGTCCTTGACAGTGGGGCCACCGAAACCGCACTGAAAGACGCTGGCACCCTCACCCCCCTCCCACTTCCCACCCAGGTTCATGGTGCCGACTCCAGCTTTTCCATCCCCTGCACTCACCTCTCCACCCTTCCTTGCACCGCTTTCCCATCCGGTACAGTCACCGGTCTCCACATCCCTACCCTTCGCAATAACCTCCTCTCCCACCGTGAACTCCAAGGCGTTGGTATTACCGCCATTTACCCTGGCTTTGCTTCCTACTGTGATCTCTACCACACCGCCTCTGGTCGCTTCCTCCTGCGCATTCCCCTTTGCCCTCGCACTCGCCTTTACACGCTCCGCACACCCCGTCCCACTCGTGCTGGTACTTCCACCGGTCCCCCTCTCCCTCCCCCTCCCCCTCCTCCTCCCCCTCACCCTCCCCCTCCCCTTCTCCCTCTTCCTCCGATATCCTCCTCCTCCGCTCCATCCGCCTCCTCCTCCCCCCCCAACTTTTCCCCCACCCCATCCCCCTCCTCCTCTACTGCCCTCTCCCACCCTGCAGTGCTCCTACATCACAGACTCGGCCATCCCAACTTCGCCGCACTTCGCTCCACCGTCACCTCTCGCCTCCTTAACAGCCTTCCTCCCACCTTACCTCCCCTCCCCTCCTCCCCTGCTCCCCCATGCCCATCATGCATTCATGGCAAGCTCAAACAGTCCCCCCATCACAGTCATCCCACCTTCCCTCCCGCCCCCATTGACCTTGTTCACATGGATCTCTGGGGCCCTTATCCCATCCGCTCCCGTCAGAGGCACAGGTACATGCTCGTCCTCGTCGACGACCACAGTCGGTACTCCACCGTCTTCTTTCTTCACACGAAAGACCAGGTGCCGGCTGTGGTCATCAACTGGGCTGAGCAGTGCCGCAACCACTTCAAACGTCCCATAGGCCGCCTTCACTCTGACGGTGGGGGTGAGTTCATCAATCATACTCTCTCCACTTACTGCAAAACATACGGCATTCAGCAGACCTCCACCCTCCCCCACTCCCCTCAGCAAAACGGCATCGCTGAGAGTCGCATCCGTGAGATCACCAAGATTGCGCGCTGCCTCATTGCTCACGCCTCCACCCCTCTCTCCCTCTGGAGCTATGCCCTCGTTCATGCCGCCCTCCTCCTCAATCTCCGCTCCCACCCTCAGCATCCCTCCTCCTCCCCCACAGAACTCTGGTCCAAGGCCAAGCCTGACGCCGCAGGCCTTCGTGTTTGGGGCTGCAAAGCGTTCGTCCTCATTCCACCGGCCGACCGCTCCCGCGCTGCTGGCAAGCTCGCTCCTCGTGCTCTAGAGTGCGTCTACCTTGGGCATAATCGTGATTCCCCAGGCTACCTATTCCTCCACCCTCCCACCAATCGCCTCATCCGCAGCATTGACGTCGTCTTCGACGAGTCCACTCCCTACTACTCCACCCCTCCTCCTGACCCCCTCCCTCCTCCCACTCGCCCCCTCGCTTGGACCGACACCGTCCTCCCGCCTCTTCTCCCTCCAGCGCCTCTCCTCCCACCTGTCGCCGCCCCACTCCCGCCCTCCTCCTCTGCCGACGTCTACGACCCTGCCGCACCCGCCTCCCCCGTTCACTCAACTGCACCCCCTCCCCCCTCTCCCTCCTCCTCTCATTCTCCTCCTTTCCAGCACCCGGATCAGCAACAGCAGGGGCAGCAGCAGCAGCAGCAGCAGCAGCAGCAACAGCAGCAGCAGTAGTCGGCGCAACACCAGCAGTGGCAGCAGGGGCAGCAGCAGCAGCAGCCGGGGCAGCAGCAGCAGCAGCTGGAGCAGCAGCAGCAGCAGCCAGGGCAGCCGCAACAGCAGCAACCGGGACAGCAGCAGCAGCAGCAGCAGCACGGTCCGCAGCAGCCGCAACAACAAGGGCAGCAGCTTCGGCAGCACCAGCAGCAGCAGCAGCGCCGTGCCACTTCCCGCTCCTCCCCCTTCCTCCTCCCTTACATCCATACCCGCTCGGTGGACAAAATCCTTGGGGCTCCTCCTCCTGCCTCCATTCAGCTCCTTGAGGACTCCCATGAGGAGTTCCTCACCATTCGGGAGCACACTCCGTTCCTTGCCTCCCTCTACCTTGACTTCCTGGGCTTTCCTGTCCTTGGCGCCACCACCACCCCCACCATCTTCACTCCCTCCACCTTCCAGGAAGCCATCACCTGCCCTGACGCGGATAAATGGATAGCGGCGATCTTCCTGGAATGTGAGGCATTCATTCGCAACGACTCCTTTGTCGATGTCCCTCTCCCAGCCGGCGCCAACCTCGTTGACGGCAAATGGGTCTTTCGGGTGAAGCAGCTGCCGGGCGAGGAACCGGTGTACAAGGCACGCTACTGCGCCAAGGGGTTCACGCAGACTTGGGCCGAAGACTACTGGTTCACCTACGCCCCCACCGCCAAACCACCCACCCTTCGCGCCGCCCTCGACATTGGCGCACGTGACAACATGGAGATCGATTCCATGGACGTCTCCAATGCGTTCCTGCAGGGCGACCTGCACGAGCGCATTTTTCTCCGGCGACCCCCCGGGTTCCACGCAGCCTTCCCTGAGAACACTGTCTGGCAGCTGCGACGCCCTGTCTACGGCTTGAAGCAGGCACCGCGTGAGTGGCATGCGAAGCTGGCTGCCACCTTAGGGTCTCTCGGCTTCTCTGCTTCCCACTCCGACGCCAGCCTCTTCATCCGCTCCTCCCCCCGCCGCTTCTTCATTCTGGTGTATGTGGACGACATGATCCTGCTCTCTAACACCAGGGCCGACATGGAGCAGATGAAGCTGTCCCTGCAGCAGCGTCTCAAGTGCAAAGACCTTGGCGCCCTCACTCACTACCTGGGCATGGCCATCACGCGCAACCGCCCTGCTCGCACCATCACCCTCTCACAGTCCCACTACATCGGCCAGGTCTTGGAGAAGTTCGACATGGCGCAGGCCAAGCCTGTCTCCACCCCCCTCCTTTTCGGCCACCAACTCGCTCCACCCACCTCTCCCACCTCCTCCCCCCACCCCTATGCCGAGCTCGTTGGGTCCCTGATGTACGCGATGATGTGCACCCGCCCTGACCTCGCCTACCCCATCAGCGTGCTCGCTCGCTTTGTCGGCACCGGTCGCCACGCTAGGGAGTACTGGAAAGCTGGCAAGCGGGTCCTCCTCTACCTTCGAGGGACTAAGGACCTTGCCCTCACCCTTGGCGGCCCTTCCCCTCCTCTTCTCTCAGGCTTCAGTGACTCCTCTTGGGCTGACACGCAGCCGGACCGCCGCTCCTCCCAGGGCTACGGCTTCACCCTTGGCAGCGGCCTCATCAGCTGGCGCTCCACCCGCTCCTCCGCCATCTCTCTCTCCACCTGCGAGGCCGAGCTCTACGCTGGCACCATGGCCGCCCAGGAGTCCCGCTGGCTCTGCTTCCTTCTTGCAGAGCTTGGCGCCCCCCAGACGTGCCCCACTCTCTGGTGCGACAATGCCAGCACCATCCATCTCACTCAGGACCCCGTCTATCACGCCCGCTCCAAGCACATCGAGCTCCGCTACTTTTTCATTCGCGAGCTCGTCCAGAAGGGCCTTATTGCCGTTCGCAAGATTGCGACCGAGGCCAACTTGGCCGACATCTTCACTAAGGCCCTCCTTCGCCCCGCGCACTCTGCTTTCCTCCGCCTCATTGGCCTCGCTCGCCCAGGCGCCCCTTGATTCAGGGGTTGTTCTCTTCTTGTGTTAGCATGCTAAGGAGTTGTGTTAGAATTATATATTGTGTAGCATGCCAACACATGTGACTGTACACCAATTGTGGTGTACAGTTGGGTTGGGACTACACCCAACTTTGGGTGTAGTCTTGCACTTTGGGGTGCCAATCCACCCAATTGTGGTGGAGCCCCCAAATGCAACCCACTTGGCTTATGGGTGCCTCACTTCCCACAAATGAGGTCACCTCAAGCCAAGTGGGCCTAGGGTTGCCTCACTTCTACAAAGTGTGGGCAACCCAACCCACTTGACCCATGGTTGCCTCACTCCCCCAAGTGAGGTCAACCCAACCTATGGTCACTTCACCCTTCTCTTCCAAGCCTCTCTTCAAAACTATGTATGCTAGGTTTCTCCTCTAATGAAGTCACTTGTTCAATTTACAACTTTCACATGTTCCAGTGGTGTGCTTGCAAGGTTATAGTCAGAACGAGAGTGGGGAGGTGGGGAGGAGATGAGTGATGAGAGTGGGGGATGGGGGTGAAGGTTGCTATGGGAGAAGGCAAAGGTGTGCCCGCAAGAAATCAGATGAAGCGAGAGAACATTTTGACAGCAGAATTTTTTTATTATTATTCTCATAAGTGACTCCCAGATGGGCGTGAAGGTTGCTATAGGAGAGGCCAATGGTGTGTCCGCAAGAAATCACATGAAGCGAGCGAACTTCATGAGTAGAAGGGGAGGTGAAGGGGGGTGAGGGAGGAGAGTGGGGGTCGAGGGAGGTGAGGGAAAGAGCAGAGAGAAGGAAGAGAACGCAAGAGATGAAGTGGATGAGAGGAGGAAAAGAGGCGGGTGTTAATTGTCTCTACTGTCTCTGCTGTATGCATCCTTGGATAAATCATGCATGAAACTCCGTACACTGTAGTCTAAATAAATTTGGCATTTACAATTCTCCCATCACCATGACGTCATCTCGCCTCACCATGACGTCATATCGCCTCACCATGACGTCATCTTGCCTCACCTTGATGTCATCTCCCCTCAGCCGAAGCAGCTTCAAGCCTTGCGCTGCTACCTGGTGTGAGAACGGGGAGAGGGGGGTCACATCCTCACAAGGATAAGCGGGGAGCGGTGATAGTTGGAAGTGCGGAATTGAACCGAGAAGAAACCCGTAGCAGCAAAATCATAGTTCTATCAAAGTGAAATGGAAATCGGTGAGATGATGCCAGCTGAATGCTTTGACGCGACGCAACGAGGTGTGATGTGCATGTGGATCTAATCAGTCAACGCAGCAGCACGGTCGGAGCAGCACCTTCTTCCGCTCCTGTCGAATGGTCTTGCGCTTGGACTGCTTCAAATCCATGAGGAAATCGTTGAAGCTGGTGTTGGATGCGGTGCAGATGGGTGGATTCATGCAAGCATGCAGAAAGAGGGGGAAAGAGCGTTGGAATGAAGAGTAAGGGGGAGAGAAGGGGTGGGAAGAGGGGTGTGTTTGGGCCCACTCCAAGCCCATATTGCAATATGACTGCCTCAGTTAATCCTCTTTTTCTTTTATTTAGCAGATGTGTGCACAGAGAAAAGGCGCAAAGGGAAGCACATCAGAATGCTTCTCCAAACCAAACCACTGGATGAAGCCTCATGCCATGCAAGGGAAGGGAGGCTTGACATCCACAATACGTTTTGAATCGACTCGGAGCTGGCCCTTTCCTCTCCGATCCACGGCATGAAGTCCCATGCCATGCCATGCAAGGGAGGTTTGACATCCCCAATGCCTTCACTCTCATCCACCACACGCCATACCCATGCTCCAACTTGCCATATCCGCGGTTGCTCCAGTGGTACTGCATGCCCATGCGCTGCGGGAAGCATGACGATTGAGGTGCCGCCACACCCCATGATAGGGATTGAGGTGGCGCCATGCACCCCACACATTTCTCACCTGCCATAGCCCCGGTTGCTCCAGTGGTAATGCATGCCCATGCGCTGCAGGAAGGCATACGGTTCATTCATGCCACACTACACACCTGCACCTGCCACACCTTATGCCTGCCCAGTGCCCACCCATGCATGCATGCCCCTGTGCTCACCTGCCATAGCCCCGGTTGCTCCAGTGGTACTGCATGCCCATGCGCTGCAGGAAGCATGTGGATTGAGGTGCCGCCACACCCCATGCCTACCACACTCACATGCGTCGCACGTGCGTGCATGCCCCACCGTCCACCCATGAGCCCTCACCTGCCATAGCCCCTGTTGCTTCAGTGGTACTGCATGCCCATGCGCTGCAGGAAGCCATGGCGCGCCATGACCTGCCAGTCGTCCTTGCATGGGAATGTCACATGCACCGATGATACCCCGTACTGTGTCAGGTGTGGGGGATGGGGGAGGAGCGAGGGAAAGGGGGGAGGGAGAGGAGGAGGGGGGAAAAGAGGAAGGGAGGGAGAGGGGGAAAGAGATGGGGGGCGAGACCATAAGCAGACAGTCGGCCATATCCACTTGCGATTGGGAGTCGCCTTTGACATTTCTCAAATGCCATGACTTGCCACTCGGCATTGGATGGAAATGTTATGTGCACCGAGGATACCCCGTACAGGGTACATGGGTGCGGTCCTGCCATACATGGCCTGCCTGTCGGCCTTGCATGATAAGTCAAGCTCCCTTTCCTCCCTTCCTTCCAACCCCAAATCTCCCCTTCCTCCCCTCACCCCTCACCTCGTCCGCCACTTGCTTCATGGCCCGGCACAGCCCCGACGGCACAGCACCCTAAGTCACCCTGCGTTTCCTTACCCCGCCTCCCAACTACCCCCTCCACTATCGCCTTCCGCGCCCTATCACCCCTCTCTCTCTCCCCTCACTCACCTCGTCCGCCACTTGCTTCATGGCCCGGCACAGCCCCGACAGCACAGCCCCGACAGCACAGCCCCGACAGCACAGCCTCGCACAAGTTTACACCCACATCCCCCTTCCCTCCCATCTTCTCCCCACCCACCCCTCACCTCATCCGCCACTTGCTTCATGGCCTGGCACAGCCCCGACAGCGCAGCCTCGCGGTCAGGTCCGTCCCGAACCAGCAGGCGAGGTCCGGTGGCAGGCGTGAACGGCACGCAGGACTGCAGCTTCGGGTAGTATGAGCCTCCCGCCCGCATGAAAGCGTTGGCCCACGAGTGGTCGAACACATACTCTCCGTACGAGTGGCTATGAGGACGCAGAGGAGAGGGAAGGAGGAAATGAAGGCTCCTATTATCGTCCACTGTATGAAGCCTTTTGAGGCGCCTCAAAAGTCCACTGTAAAAAGCCACACATCTTCGAGCAGTACGAGCCTCCCGCCCGCATGAAAGCGTTGGCCCACGAGTGGTCAAACACATACTCTCCGTAGGAGTGGCTGTGGGAATAAGGGGGGACGAGAAGAAGGAGGGTTGAATATTCAAGCAAAGCCACACAACATTTGGGCTCGTACGAGCCTCCCACTCGCATGAACGCATTGGCCCACGAGTGGTCAAACACATACTCTCCGTAGGAGTGGCTGTGGGGACGAGGGGAAGGTAAGGGAAAGACTACTATCTACTCAAGGAAAGCGACACAGCACTTGGCCTGCTACGAGCCTCCCAGCCTCATCACAAGATTTAACACCACCGTGGGTGTTCACGGCACACCCTCACATGACCACAGCACACTTACCCCTTCAAATACAGGGGCAGCACGCCAACTGCCCTCTCCTCAGCGTCCCTGGCAACGAGGTGCTGTGGTAACCACCCCTCCTCGCGGCACTACCGTAACAAAACCACAAACACACGTACCCCTTTAAATACAGGGGCAACACGCCAACCACCCTCTCCTCGGCGTCTCTCGCCATGAGGTGCTGTGGTAACCACCCCTCCTCGCGACACGCGCTTCTGCTCTCCTCCAGGCACTGCAGAAATGCGTGTGACACAAACGGATTGTGCTTCTCCGCACCACCCTCACCACCACCAATTGCTGCTCCTGCTGCTGCTTGCTGTTAGGGTAACCAGCGCTCCTCCCAGCACCAATCCCAACATTCTAAGACACACCCATTCCCTTACATGAACGCACACGCACACTTACCCCTTCAAATACAGAGGCAATACTCCGACTACCCTCTCGTCGGCATCTCTCGCGACGAGGTGCTGTGGTAACCACCCCTCCTCGCGGCACGCGCTTCTGCTCTCCTCCAGGCACTGCAGGAACGCGTGTGACACAAACGGATTGTGCTTCTCCGCGCCGCCCGCCGCGTCCAGCGCACAGGCGTCCCAGTCAGCTGCGGGGATGGAGGCGATGGAGGAGGAAACTGTGACTGTAAGGGCCGTCGCAGTAACGGGGGGTTCCTGTGCACATGGGAACGGGGACAGAAAGTGAAGGGTGGATGGGTGGATGGGTGAATGGGGTTCAACAGTCAACACTCCACTAGCGCACAGGCGTCCCAGTCAGCAGCAGGGATGGAGGCGATGGAGGAGGAGACTGTAAGGGCCGTCGCTGTAGTGGGGGGGTCCTGCACTTGTAGCAGGGGGGTCCTGCACTTGTAGCAGGGGAAAATGGAAAGGGGTGAAAGGAATATGTGGGGGATTCATGGGTGGGCGTGTCTCCCCTGTCGTCCCTCCACAAGCGCACTGCACAGGAGACGATTTTTGAGGCGCCTAAGAAACCTTCCCTGTCTTCCCTCCACTCCACAAGCGCACTGCACAGGCGTCCCAGTCAGCCGCAGGGATGGATGCGATGGAGGAGGACAATGTGACTGTAACGGATGTCGCTGTAGCGGGGGGGTTGGGGGGGGAGGTGTGGGGGTGGGGGTGGGGGTTGGGGGGGGGGGGGGTGTCGCACACGTGGCAGCGGGATTAAAGAGAGAGAGGGTTGAATGGAGTCAAGAGGCGCCTATAAACAGTTTATAGGTGCGTGCACCCGTTAATAGGTTCGATTCGCACACGGGTGCACGCATCAATTTCGAGAGGAGAATGCACAGTTTTCACATATGCGTCGACGACTCATAGCAATTCCCACTCACTCCTGCCCGCAACCCGCTTAGTTGGAAATAACTTTTGAGAATTCTCAAAAGTGGTACCGTTTATGAACAAATGCACGCACTGCACATCTGCAAAGGCGACTCATAGCGATTTCCACTCACCCCTGCTCGCAGCCCGCTTCTTTACGTCTCCTCTGCCGCCGCCGATCCCGCACCCCCGACCAATGCGCTCCTAATGCGCTGCGTTTTCTCACCCTGCTGCTGCTGCTTCTCCTGCTCCTGCTGCCAGGGCCAAAGCGCGGCTGATACGGGGATCGGACGAGAGTGGTTTTGACTGCGGCTGTGATTGGAACGAAGGTGACTGTAACCAGACTGTGTTTTCGCGGCGTAATTATGGCCGCCGACGGGAACGCCGAAAAGCGGCACCGACAGCAGAGACGAAGGCGCTGCAGCTTGAATTTGCTGGGTCGATCTTTGCCGGGCTTGAACCGACGCTCGGCATCGCGGTTGATGTGCGCGAAACGCCTCGCTAACTTCGCCAATGGCGCGGTTACTGTGTATCCGCGCGCGCGAATCAGCGAATAGCGGTTTAAGCGCCTGGTTGGAAGCGACGAGAGTCGCGGAACTCATGGAGAAAGGTGACTCGACGAGTAAGTAACCCCGAAATTTAGGAACCCCGAGAATCCACCCCTTTCGTATTCTAGCTGCGACACCGAAGAGATTAACTTCAACCGTTCGAAATTTTGGTAAGAGAAATTCGCCTCAGTATGTCGCAGAACCCATGCTGGAATCGGATCGGCGAGTTGGACGTTCTCAGCTGCGCACGGGGGGGAGCAGTGTCGAGAACAGTCGACGCTGGGAAAGGGTGGCTTTCTTTCCGAAAGTAATATGGAATAAAGTGCAGCGGAGAACGACGCAAGCTGACTTGTTGTACCCCGTATACTACTAAATTCACGTATGAGAAGTTGACGCCAGCTTCGACGTATCTAAATTTATGCAGGAGTCTTCAGGAACAACGAGGAAGCAGAGCAATACAGTATGTGCTGTCACAGGGAGTGAGACAAACGATGAAGGCTTGAAAGCCAGACTAGGAGGAATCAGGAAGCATTTTACATCTTATGGATAAGGCGTGTACCCATAAGCAAATTCTATTCGCTCACTGAGAATGTGTCATTCAAATCCTTGATGTGTGCGACCACGGGACAGGAAGCGACATCTGGAAAGTGCTCTGCTCGGAATGGCCATCAAGTAACGAAGGTGCGTGCAACCAAACTGAGTACAAATCAGCATGTAACTGGGTACCTCTCCGCGAACTCTCTGTGACTGGTCCGTATGGCTCAAAATTTGGGGTTCCTGATTCACCATGTCAGCATGATGCCACGTGTACCAATCATTGGATTCGGAAACTAACCACAAATTCGGTAAAGGGAACGTTGTGAGGCGTATTCAGCAGTACTGCTTAAACATCCTCGTGTCGCCTGTGACTTCATTATGCTCACATGTTGATCAAATACTAATTACATTGTTTTGCACTGACTGAAGGATCCCAGATTTCACTTTTAATTTTCATTGTTGCACCTACCTACAATACGTATAAAAACCATAATTAATGCTGATTTTACATAGTATTGTAGGAAAGGCTGAATCATAAATGTAGAATTATAGGAAAATACTGATTGTTCAGTGAGTGAGTTCAACTACTATTCAATGGTGCAAAAACAATATGAGATTTTGGACAGTGTCCTGCTCTCATTTGTTTCCTGTACTATATTTTAGAATTTATATTACTCTATAGATGGTCGTACAGTTTAGCGAAACATCTCAAATCAGAATTGTGTAGCTCATATAATGCACTGATGCTTTTCCCCGCATCTGACTGCGATTCAAAAACCGTTCCCTCAGGCGTAGAGCACGAGAGAAACAAAAAATTCCTGGGTGATGTCCACGAGCTCTCGGTCGCTCAAGGGTATGGAAGGTTGTACCACGCCTCGGATGCTGTGAAGGAGTCGGGGCTTGAATCTGGTCCTTAAAGCTGCGGTCTACATTCATCGAGGTATTTTCCGGGGTTATTTAGGATGCACACCCAACGACCCACGCTGATTTGCTTACGAATGACCCGCTTCCACTATCAGTAGGTGCGAGGGAGTCAAACAGAACTGGCGAAATCCGCCAGTTTCGTGATTTGGTTCGGTTGGGAAACAACCCTCGGCGACTTCGCGATCACTTCGTAAGGTTGGGTTGGGGAGGGGATTGGCGAAATTAATTAGCCAATCATGAGCAGGGAAATTACAGGCAGGGGTTGTGTTGTCACAAACTCGGAAACACACCTCGCCACTGAAGCGGAAGGCTGCCAAACTTATACTCTACAGTTTGTTTAGGCTGTAGTGGGGTAGTTACTATGGAATACAGTAAGTTTAGGTTTTCCTACTTGTACCCACCCCTTTCCTAGTGCATTCACTCTTGTTCATTCTGACATGGTATTACGAGCCTAGGTTAGGCACCTAGGACCGCTTAGTGCTAAGGGCCCACCGTTCCGCTAGAAGCGCCCTCGTGCGCCCTGCCTTCCTCGCGCCCTCGTGCGCCAATCTCTGCTCGTGCGCCCTCGCGCGCCCTCTCTCTCGCGCTGCCCGCGCGCTGTCCGTTAACCGCGCGCGCGCAGCCCGCTAGCCGCCCGCGTGCGGCCCTCTTACCGCGCGCGCAGCCCGTTAGCCGCCCGCACGAACAGGACCGCCCGCGCGCAGCCCGCGACGGCCTCGTGCGGCCCCGCGCGCAGCCCGCGAGCTGCCCATCGACCGGCCCTGCTGGCCGTCCAGCGCGCCGCAGCCCCGCACGTAGGCCGCCGCCCGCACGTAGGCCGCCGCCCGCACGTAGGCCGCCGCCCGCTCGTAGGCCGCCGCCCGCACGTAGGCCGCCGCCTTGCACAGCAGCCGCACACCGCGCGCAGGCCCGCCGTCGCGCCGCCCTGCCTGCCCGAGCCGCGCCGCGCCGCCCTGCCCGTGCCACACTGCCCCACCTGCAGCAACTGCTGCTCCTGTTCCTGCTACTACTGCTGTTCCTGCTGCTACTGCTGTTCCTACTGCTACTGCTGCTACTGCTACTGCTGCCCCTATGGCTAGTCCCACCGTTCTCTCTTTCGATGCTGAGGGCCGTCCGATTCAGTTTGATGTTTGGCTCGACGACCTGCACCTGTTCCTACAGATCACTGCTAAGGACGATATCTCGCTGTATGACCACGCGTCCGGAACCGCTCTAGCACCTGCTGAGACTGCTGACAGTACAGTTCGTTCCCAGTGGCAGACTCGTGACGCTCACGCTCGACTAGCCATTCGCAGCCACCTGCCGTTAGATGAGCGCGCGCATTTTGGCCAGCACAAGACTGCTAAGGCACTGTACGATGCTGTAGTCGCGCGCTACTCCTCACCTGCCTCTGCTACGATCGGCCGTCTCTCGCTGCCCTATCTTTTCCCCGATCTGTCCGCCTTTCCCACCGTCGCTGACCTCATCACCCACCTCCGCACTAGTGAGACTCGCTACCGTGCCGCCCTTCCTGCTGAGTTTCTCGCCAAGAACCCCCCACCGATGTACCTCACTCTCTACCACCTTGTCACCCGTCTCCCTGACTCTCTTCGAGCAGTCAGGAACCACTTTCTCGCCCTCTACCCCACCGAGCTCACCGTTGACCTGCTCGAGAAGCACCTGCTTGCAGCTGAGGCTAGCATAGTCGCTGTAGGTGCCTCTCGCGGCGACCCCCGCACGCCCTTCTTTGAAGGGTGTTCCCCTTCCCCCCTTCTCCCCTCTGTCGCCTCTGCTGCTGCTGTCGACTACCTTGGAGCTGAGGAAGTCGGGGCTGCGTCTACTTCTAGTGGGAGGCGCAAGGGCGGCAAGGGCAAAGGGGGCAAGGGTGGTGGGGGTGACGGCGGGGGAGGCGGTGGTGGTGGCGGTGGCGGCGGTGGGGGCGGTGGCGGTGGTGGGGGTGGTGGCGGGGCTGGGGGAGTCAGTGGCGGCGGCGGGGGTGGTGGCGGCAGCGGGGGTGGAGGTGGCCGGGGTGGAGGCGGTAGTGGTGGCGGCAGTGGGCGTGGTGGCGGCGGCTGGGGTGGTGGTCGGGGTGGACCGGCGCAGCGTGGAGGTTCTGGTGGTGTCCAGCGCCAGCAGCAGCGTTTCGGAGAGACCCCGTCGCCTCAGCAGCTTCGTGAGTGGTACTCTCAGCATGGGGGGTCTGGGGGTGGAGGTACCTGCCCGTATGTCATCCGCACAGGTGACCGCGCTGATCAGACGTGTGGGAGGCCCCACACGCAGCAGCCCTGCTTCTCCCGTCTCGACGACGCCTGGCGTGCACAGTTCCCTGAGGCCTCCGAGCTGCCCCGCTGGGCTGATCTGCTTAAAAAGAACATTGATGTCTTCGCTCTTGACTTTGATGTTATCCTTGGTGCCATGTATGCATTGACTATTAGTGTTGAGGGTGACTGTTACCTGTGTGTCCCGCCCGACCCGGGCATTGAGACCAGTGAGGCTGCCGCTCTAGGTGCTAGTGCGTCTGCTGCCCCAGGTCCTAGTGAGGCTGCTGCTCTAGGTGTTGGTGAGTCTGCTGCTTCAGGTGCTCGTGAGTCTGCG